TCTTTCTCTCTCTCTCTCTCTCTCTCTCTCTCTCTCTCTCCCTTTCTTTCTTTCTTTCTTTTTGTCGGTCGTGGGGCTTGAACTCTGGGCCTGGGTGCTGTCCCTGAGCTCTTCAGCTCAAGGCGAGCGCTCTACCACTTGAGCCACAGCACCACTTCCAGTTTTCTGGTGGTTCATTGGAGATCCTTATCTCAAGGACTTTCCTGCCTGGCCTGGCTTTGAACCACGATCCTCAGATCTCAGCCTCCTGAGTAGCTAGGATGACAGGCGTGAGCCACTGGCGCCCCACTAGCCGCCATCTTTCTTTCTGCCTCCCCTGCCCCCTCCCCACCCCCAGCCTCACGGGAGCCTGTTTCCCAGGTGCTGGGGTTCACCCTCATCCTCTTGTGGGCATTTAATGTGGTTGTGCCGCTGTGGAAAACCCAATGGGGAAGACCCCAGGCCCCGGAATCCCTCATCCACCCAACGGTGTGGCTGGCCACCGTGGTAATGCCTGGCCTTCCCTGCCTGGGGTGGGGATGGGGAGGAGAGGAGCAGGGGGGAGGAGGAGGGGGGAGGGGAGCAGAGCCTCCCCCTCCCTCACTGAGGCCTCACGCGAGTGTCTTGGCCAGACCTTTGCCGTGTTCCTGATTCACGTGGAGAGGAGGAAGGGAGTCCGGGCGTCCGGGGTGCTGTTTGGGTACTGGTTACTATGTTGTCTCCTACCCATCATTGATGCTGCCCAGAATGCTTCAAGAGGGGTAAGTAGAGGACCACATCGCTGGGGCTGGGGGAGGGGTGGAGGGGAGGGGCTCATGCCTGTGATCCCAGCTACTCAGGAGGCTGAGATCTGAGGATCATGGTTCAAAGCCAGGCCGAGCAGGAAAGTCCCTGACACACTTATCTCCGATGAACCACCCAAAAGCTGGAAGTGGCGCTGTGGCTGGAATGTTCAATGCTAGCCTTGAGCAAAAACCCCCCAAAAGTTTAGGGACGGCGCCCAGACCGTGAGTTCTGAGTTCAAGTCTCAGGACCAACATACACACACACACACACACACACACACACACACACACACACACACACACACACCCCAACAAACAATGCAGCAGCTACAGGCATTTCACATGGCTTTTTGTGGATACATAATAGCCGTTCCTCGGAGGGCGTGTTGATGTAGCCAGACATGGTTCAGTATTCAGCTCGGGACGATCCACTGAGCATGTGCGGAAGGAAGGAACACCGCAGCCCCTCCAGGAAGGGGCAGCAGGTGCTCACCCATTGGCTCGGTCTGTGTTCCCCTTCCAGCCAGGTGACCTGGGTTCCTCAGGAATCAAAGGCAGCAAATGAAGTGCAGCTGGGGTCTGGGTGTGGCCGTGCACGCCTGTAATACCAGCAGGGCAGTCTTTGGTCCAGAAGCTGCCACGTGTTTGGAATCCAGAAGGCTGGCAGTGTGGGGGGGCCTTCTAATGCTAAGGCTCTGTGTGTCTGTCCGGGAACCCTGTCCGACCGCAGATTATCCACCGTGGGCGCCCTCTGCTCCTCTACTGCTCCCCGTTCAGTGCTCCAACACCTGCTGTCTCCCCCGCAGGACTTCCAGAGCGACCCCCTCCCCCACCTGGCCACCTACCTGTGCTTGTTGCTGGTGGGGGCAGAGTTCGCGCTGGCCTGCCTGGTGGACTGGCCCCCCTTCTTCCCGAAAGACCCCCAGCAACCGGTAAGTCGGCAGGTCGGCCACCACGCCCAGCCATGGGGAGCCGGGGTGGCAGGCCTGCACCACTGCACCCGGCCATCCGTTGAGATGGAGACTTCAACACTTCTTTGGGGCTCGGGCTGGCCTCAAACCTCCGTCCCCCATCTCCTCCTCACAAGTAAGCGGAGGTGAAGGGCTGGAGCCACCCCTGCCTCTCATTAAGTGCATTCAGCCATTCGACAGACACCAGAAGTGCGAGCCAGCCCCGCCTATCTTATGTTGAGACCAGGTCTTGATCTGTACCCCACGTTGACCTCGAATTCCGGATCCTCCTCCTGCTTCTGCGTCCGGGGTGCTGGGATTCCAGGGGTGCGCTACCCTGCCTGGCTCCTTGCTTTCTTTTATATTTTGCAGAATCCCTGTCCTGAAGCCGGGGCTTCCTACCCCTCCAAGGCCCTGTTCTGGTGGGCTTCTGGGTGAGTAAGACCAAGGGAGGGGTTTGAGGAGCCCAGCACCCCCTTCCCCCCATCCCCCCAGAAGTTCATGCAGGACTTTGCGACCACGGCATCAGGCCGTCCCCTCAGCTTTCACTTACCCTGGCTCTGCCTCTCAGCTGCTGGGTCAGAGGTTCCCAGGCTGGCAGAGGAGAGAACCCCCCCCCCTCGGCTGAACCCCTACTGACCCCACTTAGGTCTGAATTGATAGCACCAGATCATATCGATTTGAATCCTGACACTTCACTGCTGTGTGGCCTTGGGCAGGCTACTTAACCTCTCTGCGCTGCACTCTCCACACGGGGCACGTAGCGCCAGGCCGCCAAGTTCCCAGAACCCCAAGCGGCGCTGCCCCTCCCCGCAGCCTGCCCCAGCGTGCTCTCGATTGGATAGGGGCACAGAGCAGCCCCTCCATCGTGTGCCGGGAATATTAAAGACCCCCAAGAAAACAGGGCACCCCATACAGGACACTGGCTTTGCCCCGGTGTAGGGTGAGGAAGTGTGTTCCCTTTGCCCCATTTACTGACACACCTGTGCCTAAG